ATGATGATGATGATGATGATGATGATGATGATGATGATGATGATGATGATGATGATGATGATGGTGATGATGATGATGATGATGATGATGAACAGCATTATTATCGTTATTATTAATCAAAAATATTGTATAGTAATAATAACAATAATAATAATAATAACAATAATAACAATAATAATAACAATAACAAGAATAATGTTATCACTATTATTATTATTATTATCATATCGGCCAATTACACACAAAAAAGTGTCATTAATTTACCTATGGACACATGGGAAAAAGTAGAAGGAGCAGACCGCAGGAGAGCGAGCGACAACCTGTTGCTTGCGACTCGTTTTTTTTTTGTGTGTGTGTTTTTCTTTGGGTTTTTTTTTTTGTGAATTATCCAAAAACATGGAGGGGTATGTATATAAAAAACCAATTTGAAAGTTGTCAAGTCTGAACGACACTCGTATCCATACAAAATAATTTTCTCCACACGGTTCAAGGTTCCACACAGCGCTACTCGTACGTAGGTGGATCAAACAGAAACTGGACTAGGCTTTTTTTCTGATCGCAAACAATCTGTACACTCTTGTTGAACATATCAGTGACGTAAACAGAAGCCTTTTACTACGTCACCAGATGAACATTTTTGTTTAATACTGTTCCACGGATATTTTAGTTCGTTTGTTTGTTTGTTCGTTTGTTTGTTTGTTTAGTTTGTTCAGCTTTTTTTTATAGGTCACTGTACGTTCGTCGGGGATTGTGTTTATGTTTGAAGCACATTTTTAAAGCCCTACGAATATTAAGAGTGTTGTGTTTTGTTGACCTTGGAAGGGTGGGCTTCAAAATTTAATGTTTGGTTTTTCATGGTCGGTAAGAACACCCAATCGGACCCAATCGGGCATTTAATGAATGTATTATTTTTTTTAATTTAGCAGGGCTTTTCTCTCTCCAAACAAACCAACTATAGCTTTACTTTACTTTTACTTTTTTTCTTCTGCTTGTACCGATGGGTGTCGCGAGGAGACACAGGCATCTGTCTGCAGCAAGGCGAGTGGCCTGTAGGAGGGACATCCCGTGAGCTCTGAGGGTGTCTGCCACAGATTCACTCCATCGTCGCCTTGGTCTTCCTCTGGCTCTCCATCCAGAATATTTAGTGTTGTATGCTCTCAGAGCTGGATGGTTTGAGGGCATCCGCGTGAGGTGTCCGAACCACTTGACTTTTTGTTTTTCGTTGTGTGGTAGGACTGGTGATGCTCCTACGGTGTCCCTATGAATTCATTTTTTATTTTGTCTCTTTCTTGTTTTGTTGACCGCTCTTCTTAAGGATTTCATCTCGCGTGTGACCAGTTTTCTCTCCATGGCTTTTGTTAGGAACCATGTCTGGCACTGATATGTGAGTGTTGGAAGGTAAATGGCGTTGATGATCTTCGTCTTGGTGCTCATGGGGATATTGGGATGTACCAACTATAGCAACCTTACTTTTTCAGCACATGGCTGGCATACAGAGAGTGGGCCACCGATTGGGCCTGATTGGGTCCGATGGGTCTGATTGGATCCGATTGGGTCTGATTGGATCCGATTGGGTGTTCCTACTGACCCGCTTTTTCATCATGACAACTCGGCTAAAGTTCAACTACATTTTACAGGCTCCTAAGACACAACTTTGATGCCTCATCCAAAATAATAATCACCCGACGTGGCTCCATTTGACTTTTTTGCTTGTTCCTAGAGCTGAAATCGTAGGTAAAAGGCCGTGGGATTGAAGATACCGAGGATAGTAAATTTGGGTCATTGAGAGCGGTATTTATCTTTGTTGAGATAACAACAAATAACAACTGATAACAACTTATAACAAAAAATAGATAACAACTAAAAACAACAAAATAACAACAAATATCAACACAAACGTCCTAATTTATTTGCTTTTACTTGGTATTTAAGGTAGTCTGCTTACATCGGAATAAACCTTTGTCGAGATAACAACAAATAACAACTGATAACAACAAATAACAACTGATAACAACAAATAACAACTGATAACAACAAATAACAACGGATAACGACAAATAATAAGTGATAACAACAGATAACAACAAATAACAATTGGTAACAACAAAATAACGACAAATATCAATACAAAAGTCCTAATTTAGTAGTTTTTTCCCGATAAAGCGTTACTTTAGATTTTACTCTATCGATTTGAACGTAAACAAAATAAGGGACGCAACTCCCCGGTCATCACTAAAGAATATTCTACTTCCAGCAGAAGCTCGGAATTTTGCTCGTAAAATAGAGGCCTGGTTGTCCACATGAATATTGATTTTTTTAGGTTAGAATTGGAATCATTGTTATCAGTTGTTATTTGTTGCAATCAGTTGTTATTTGTTATCAGTTGTTATAATTCGTTGTTATATCGACAAAGATAAGTACCCCATTGACAGGGGGGGTTTAGGCTGTCTCATAGAAAGAGCTACAGAGAAGCTTCCACAGAAATGTTGAAACAACTGCCTACACGCAGCAGGACTTCTTTTGAAGAGTGCAATGAGGAAAGTATTATACGATAAGTAGTTTTCATATAACATCATCAGTCCAGTTACTTTTTGATCCGCCTTCGTATGATCAATAAACCGGAAAACGAGCAAGTTCACAAGTAGAATTTGTGAGAAAACCATTGCAGAATGCCAACTTCATTTCCCTTCGATTTTGCTTTATCATTCGTTCCTTTTCCCATTCAACTGAGGAAAATTTAATAAACCAACAGTTGAAAAAAAAATGAAGTTACGAGTCTACAAGCTTCTAAAACTGATTTTCTGTGGATTTCCTTTTTGTGACAATGTCCGCTTTTTCCCGTGGACTTCTCATATTCCGGGTACGCTCTCAAATGGCGTCATGGTCTCGAGTTTAGGCTCTCGGACTCTCAACCGTAAGGTCGTCCGGATTCGAATTCAGTCAAGGACCATACGTTGTTTCTTTGGGGAAAGACACATCAGTCTAACATACTTCACCTCGGTGAAAATGAAAACCAGACTCTAAACTCTAAACTGCGTAAAAGTTATTTTTGGTCAGATTGTTAGTGTTAAATGGTATGTAATCCGCTATTTGTACTGTACTTTTCCCTGACAGATGTGAATGTTTCCGAGTCGTGTTTTGAGTCTGCTGGGGTAATAATAATTGTAAAGGGTATAAAACGTTATGTTAGACCATTTTTCCGAGCATTGACCATACACAGTTTACGTACACAAAACTTATACCAGACAAAACTTTGTGCCTATTGTACAACGGTAGCCTCCCCTCTTTTACGTGCAAAAGATGCGACTTCAATACCCGTGGGGGAAGTTATTTATCGAGTTGCTCTGTCCGTCTGCTGGGACGCTGTACCCCTCTCAGCCCAGGCAGGCGCTGATAGGCAGGGTCGATGCTGACCATCTCCTGAATTATCTAAAAACTGTGTCGATGGGGGTGTAAAACATTCCCAATGACAAAATTAAAGACACACAAAACGGTATCCAAAATGGCGATGAGAAGCACGCCGATGAGTGGGACACAGTCTATACGTTCTTATACTACGTTCTCTGGCCGTCTAGGACACAGTTGATGGCGAACTTGTTCAGTAACGTAGAAGCTTGAGGCTGCAGTGCGAGGAGGTTTCGATATTTTGTTGCTTCATCTGTTTGATATAGATCTACTTCTTCTTCTTCGTTCAGTGCACTGTGGCCTGGCGACACCGAATTATGCCCCGTCATTGAAATGATCCGTATTTTAGTTTGCCCAGAGCTGAACTTGAATAATAACCCAAGGGAGCGGGTTTCTTTCAACTTTCCATTTACCTCAGTCGCAGTTTTCTCAGTAAGAGGTTTGGAGTTTGTGTAACAAGACAAAGGGGGACCAGAAAGCCTTTCGATCTGTAAATAAAGACAGCAAAGAAAAAAGCCAGATAACATTTTAAAATTCTTTTTCATAACAGACATGACATTCCAGAAATTTGGTCCTCTCTTGTTCCGAATATTTTATTACAGAATAGGTGTAAAATACATCAACATGCTTTATTTTCTCAAATACGATAATATCAACAATTTCTTATAAAGAGAGCACCTCATAACATTCGGTGGCTGCTCGCGGCTACAGAAAGGCGTTTCCCGGCAATCTCAGGCAGAGACATGCTTTGTGCTTTAGCTTCTCGGAGAGTTTTTCCTGGAGCAGAAACTGATGACGTATTGACACTGGTTGTTTCAGTGGCTGGGTCTGACGTTATACTTCTGACGTCCTCCCCGGCATTTGGCTTGCCGCCATTACCGATCGATGCATGAAAATGGCTAGAGCCACCATGATAGGAACTGGCCGAATTCAGGGAATGGTGGTGGTGAATGTTGGACGTGGAGAGGACCTTGGAGGCAAGAGCCGCTCTCCGCTGACTTCCCTGAGTCTTACCGGTGATGTTGGTAGGACCCGGCAGTTTCCCTCCACCTTTACCAGTGAGAAACCGGCTGTAGTCTCGCATTGCATAATAGTTCATGGAAGGGCAAGACCGCATCTTCTCAATGTCGTTGTTGGTGAGCGTGAGAGCGTTCCTCACCGAACTAAGGGAGTCGGTATCACTCTGGCTTGTACCACTGCAGTTGCTTATAATGCTCTGTCTCCCCGGGTGTTGTCTGAACGTCGTCGGGTTGGATTTACTTTGGTTAGTCTCCCTGAAAAGAAAAGAAAACTATTAATGCGATATTCTTAGAGAAAAATATTACATTGTGTGATCCGTTCGAAGTCTGAAGACCAAAACTGCCGATTAGGATGATTTACTTCGGTTATTCTTCCTGAAAAGAAAAAAAAATAATGTAATAGTCACATAGAAAAATATTACATTTCGCTGATCCTAACTAAACTCTGAAGACCAAAACAATCGATTAGGATAAATCTTGAACTTGATCCAGTTTAACATGAAATCGCTTCCTCGGCCATTACCTATCTTTTTTAAAGTTAAAACCCCAAATATAATTATTTTTATGTGTATTAAGAAAGTCTGAAGTACGGCATTGAAGTACATGTACTGTCCAAAAGCATGCAAATTTTAACGGAGTTTTTTATACGTTTTTTGTGCCCCCCCCCCCCTACCAACCACTCAGTGCTAGAAGTGTACTATCTAATCTTTGGACAACGGACTAGCCCAAATAAAATTAACTAAAATTTGAAAAAGATCTGGTATATCTGACATTCGAACCAAATGGTTCACATTGTTCTCTTGTTTCAACATCGAAATAAACTAATCTTGATTTAATAATTCACAAATTTGTTTAGTTATGTTTTGTATTTGAGAATATATGTGGGTCCATTGTTAGACCATTTTAACAACACACATACACACACACACACACACACACACACACACACACACACACACACACACACACACACACACACACACACACACAGCTACACACACATACACACACACAGCTCCTCGACGCATGCACAGATGGTTTTTCTCGTGGAGACTTGGCCAGTAAACACCGAGCGGACCAAAATGAATTGAAAATGGGAAACCTGAAACAACTGTTTGCACAAACTCGAGGGTGGCTTTCGAAATGATCTAAACTGTGTTGATGAGGACTGGGTCTTAGTATTTACAACCTAGCTAGCAGAAAGCTGCCAGCCCCGTAATAAAACAATATAACAACCAAAAAAGAGAACAACTGTCCTTTTCTTACGGGTTCAAGTCCCCAGGAATCATTAAGGCCAAAGTATGCTGATTTCACAGCCTTCGCATTACCTTTCGTTTCTTTTCTTTGGGAACGGCAAGGGTCTTAACTCGTTTGTCTATTTAAAGATGGCGTTCTGCGAAGCGTCTACATCAGTAGACATTCATTTGGTGTATTTCTACAACTGCAATCCTAAGTTTGGAATATGTATTGCTATGGTATCAAAGAAAGGTGACCTCGTTACAGTTTTAAATACACATGTATTAAAACAGCACTTGTTTTTTGTTTTGTTTTTTGGGGGTTTGTGTGTGTGTGAATCCAGAAATCCTTGCAAAAGATTGTGTTTGTGCATGTATATCGCGCACCCAGAAACAGATGCAAGCAAAGACTTCAGTATTAAACAGCCTATCAGAGCCTATTGGATTGAGGATACACCCCAGAAAGTCAAAGGTCCTAAGGACAGATGCACAACAAAGGAGAGCAGGTCACAATAAAAGGAAATGCACTTGAAGATGTTGAATCCTTCTTCTATCTTGGCAGTATAATTGACAGAGAGGGGAGAACAGGTGCTGAAATAAAGTCTCGCATTGGAAAAGCACAGGCTGCTTTCATATCTTTGGATAGGATTTGGAAGACCAGAGAGATCTCACTTCGAACAAAGCTGAGGATTTTCAATTCAAACGTGAAGTCAGTCCTGTTGCATGGGTGTGAGACATGGAACGCATCACAGACTTGCATAAAGATGGTCCATGTTTTCTTGCACAAGTGTCTAAAAAAATTGCTGAGGATCGGATGGACAGACAGGGTCATCAATGTGGAAGTGTTAAGGAAAACAAGACAGATACCAGTCAGAGATGAGGTAGGAAGAAGGCGTGGTGATGGATTAGACATACTCTCAGGAAGTTACGCAGCTGTGCAACAAAGAAAGTGTTGGATTGGATTCCACAGGGTAAGTGATCGAGGGGAAGACCGCATGGAACCTGGAGAGGAATACCAGAAATCGATGTACAAAAAAGTGGGAAGACATGGAATAACATCAAGAGGCTAGAACAAGATAGAGAAAGGTGGAAGGCGTTTCTCCGTGGCATATACCCTGGTGCAGGGTGAGAAAGGCTATGATGATGACGTGTGTGTGTGTGTGTGCGTATGTGTATGGGTGTGTGTATGTGTGTGCGTGCGTGCGTGCGTGTGTGTGTGTGTGTGTGTGTGTGCATGTGTGTGCAC